TTGCTGTTCTCATTCTTCTCAAATGGCATTCCAAAATTCCATCCTGTATTGTTTGCCCTTATAAATTACTGAGGTACTAAATTAATATTACCTCTTTCGGTCAAATACTTACCTACCTACCTATTTTAAACTAAACAGTGACGAAAAAACATGATTTTTAATCATTTAAAAACTGCTCTATGCTTGACTTTTTTCTAATCTCTTAAGAGCGTTTACGCCGTTTGGCGCAAAAACAGTACTTTTTCAACTCGTTACAATCATTAACCAGTAATACTACAAATATGTTATAGGCATAAATAGTTGGGCAATTTCGTCGTCTAAATAGTTAATTGAGAAAATATTGCGATTAGTTTAGCATTTAAGAATTCTATCAAGATAAGTCCACACAGGTTTTGTAAATTTCCACTTTAGCGTCAGTTTACAAGCTGAAATTTTTATAAAAATACTGTGAAAACGATTTAACAAACATTTATATCCTATAGCATAGATCCTTGGGCAAATAGTTATCTGAGAAAATTTTTAGATTTAAGCATTTTACAATAAGAAATAACAAATTAAAAGAACATGAAATACCCAAAAATCAAAGTGATTTTTTCACCAATATTCTTCCTTTATTCAACACAAAAATAGCTTAATATAATAGAAGAATATCTTATCTAAAATATTTACTTTGAAATTTAAAATAATTCATTGTAATTTTTTTTCTATGAGTATTTGAAAAGTACTATAAAACGCCGCGCACGAATCGTTCAAATTCAGTCCGCCTCGAGGCGTTCCAGAGTGAGGTCACGTCGCTCGGTGCTCTGCTGACATGTGTCACGCGTACGTTGATCTTTGACAGGTAGCTGGACTTTTATAGTGTATCCGCAAAATCTTGGTGGTAGATTTTGCGATCACGTGGTAATTAAAATATTTTATTGTTATTTTTCATTACAGTCTATTTTTACTACAAATTCTATTTCAGACGTAATGAAAAATAAAATTAAGTTATTTTTAGCGATGAAACGAAAACGAATGACGAAAATTTGGAACAGCAAGTTATGTATGTATACCTACTAATATTATAAAGAGGAATAATACTAATAATTTATTTGCCATAAATAGGTGGTTACAGAATAGTTAATAGGAATGCTCTGCCAGCAGGGTCCCACCTAGTTGTAGGGGGAACATACACAACATATTACAGTCGGAAAATCTTTGCGGTAGGTACCTCGGATTGTAGTTAGTTGGACAGTGGTCATTTGACGGCCACTTGAATCGTCTCACCCCTAAGCTTTTGGCTACCGCCGGCGCACTAAGCCGGTTGATGCCTAATCTCGGAGGCCCGGCTGCACTGAGTCGCTGACTATACTTTTGCGTCGCGCGTTATATGGTCCTATATGGGGCTCGAGTATGGCACAGTGCTGTGTAGTCGTGGAGCATCCTACTGTTCAAAAAAGCGCAACGCATGATATCACTGAGGCACAGGCTGAGGTAATTCGTGGATACCGCATAGTATCCGCAGTCCGTCTATTCCCGGTTGTGGACACTGACTATGTCCCTACTGAGGATAAATGGGAAAAAAAATATTGTCATTAGTGGCGACGTATAACAATCCTACTAATTTTATAAATGCGAAAGTTTGGATGTCTGGATGTTTGTTACTCTTTCACTCAAAAACTACTGAACGGATTTTGTTGAAACTTTACAGTATTATTGTTTATAAACCAGATTAACATAATTATAGGATATAATTTATGACGATATGTGACAAATAAATTTCAATAAATAAATAAGACGTGTCTAAAAAGCGCAATCTATCGTCACTGGTTAAAATCTACAGCGCTGGACAAACTACTGTTTTTGACGTTCGTAAATATTCATGCGGGGGAAGCCGTGAAACGCCATCTATCAACATGATATCAAACTACAGATTTTACAAACTAAGGAGTAAAACCAAGTCCACGCGTACGAATTATTAATAAAATTAATAATATTTGTATTCATCTGTACCTCTAGTAGGAAAAACTTTCGAGTTCGTTTCGTTGCGTATTCAAAGTGTCATCGAAAAATTTTGTATGAAAAATTAAACAGCGCCCCCTATATTATAGCCGCCCTAGGGGGCGCTGTTTAATTTTTCATACAAAATTTTTCGATGACACTTTGAATACGCAACGAAACGAACTCGAAAGTTTTTCCTACTAAAGGTACTGGTCTTACTTGACTTTTACATTACGTATGTCATGCACGATGACATTTGCGTCAGTATTTGTGTACGTCCCCACTAGGCATAATTGGGATGTATTTTTCTAATTTGTCATAAGTTGTGAGAAAGCCTGTAGCTATAACTGGGAAAGTATGTGTCACCACTGGTGACAATCGATATTATTTATGCCATTTATCCTCAGTGGCGAAAAAGCTAGTGTCGACAACCGAGAATAGACGCCAGTTGCGAGGTGACCATAGGTCCCAAGGGGAAATGTACGTGTACGTGCACCACGAGAGGTGGAAACCAAAAGGTAGAGGCTTGAGGATCTAGGCCCTAGAGTGCTGAAGGGTACGCCTGGCCGTCAGCCAAATTTTACGTCGCACCATAGAGGCAGTTCTGCCTGTATTAGAGGAGTGGGTGCGACGGCATGATCGCCTCACACAAAGGGCGACCCAGGTTCTACCGGGCCATGGGTGCTTCGGGCCATTCCTCCACCGTATAGGCCGAGAGCCTGTAGATGGTTGTCAGTTAACACTGCAGTCTTGGCACGTGAGTCACCGCAGCAGACTGACACGCTCCAACAGTGCCCAGCCTAAGCGAACGAGCGGCGGTTGGAAATGACCTCTCCCTACCAATCGGGAAGAGGCGTGAGATAGATAGATAAATTGTTTATTTGTTGTAACACACTTTTTTTTAATGCTTTTAACACACACATTATGTATAGTTGCTATTGAAATTCAATTCAATATCGAAATAAAGTTAGTTAGTCAAGAAACACACTAGGTGACACCACTGGTATTTTGTTACACAGGTTAGTAATAATTTCAACAGTTGCAACATAACAAAAGTGACAAAACAACATAAGATAAAGATGACTAGCGTTTCAAATAGTTCCCTGCGTCAGAGTGATGTGTGCCGCAGCGATGCAAAAAGCAAAGAGCTCAGTATAAACACTACCCTCAAAAGGGCAGAACACTGATTTTCAGCTTTTGCTAGAGAACGCATGAAGCGTACAGGTACGGAATGAACCCGCTCGCTTTCGGAAACAATATCTACATTAGTATAAAATATATGATGAGACAAATAATCTTATGGTATAGTGTGCTTACTTTCTGTGAAAGTGTTCTTTCACAGAAAGAAGCAGTGGAAAGGGGGAGCGAGAGGCCTCAGCCGACACTCCGGTTATCCGCCGCCGACACCCTGGGCGCAAGAGGACAGCTTATGGTCTCCAACTGTCCCTTCCTAACAGGCCTCGGTCGCTAGACATGGAGGTGTCTGGTGGCGGCTAAGGACGAATGCTACAGGCAACAGCCAATGGCGATGTCCCGCGTTCCCTCATATCACTCATATGGATCATGGCAGAAACAGTCAGGTTTTTAGTGGGTGTAGGGGCTACCCACCTTCTGGTAGGAAGAACCCCACATAACCCACTAGCTGCCCCCGCAGCTGGTGGGTATGAAATGTTATGCATTTTCCGGATAAAAAAGAATAGTAAACAGGAATAGTTTGTTTTGAATAGAACCGATTTGAAAAAATCTCTCACCATTAAAATTCATTTTTTTTTCTGCTGAACATAGGCTGTATAAAATATTCTCAAAATAGTAAAAAACCTTTGATAATTTACTATTTGATAAAGAATTTACGTATTTATTATTGATTAGGAGTAATGTATACCATTATTTATAATTATGGAGTCGGTGTTGGAAGATTTGAAGATTTTATAGATTCCTTGAGCTGTCAGTTGACAGCCTGGCACACTTTTACGATGGTGGATCAAAGTATTTTGGTTTGACTATAGAGCGTGAGAACACGCACACAGTCATAATTATTTTAGTGTGAATAAAACTAGCATCGAAATTACCTAAACTTGACATGCCACGCTAGACGTAAACGCTCTTAAATTATGTCAGTGTTTGTCCTCTAGACAAACCTTGCAACTGTTTTTCTAGTTTTATGCATTAAATTAACCTTTTCAGCGCCACGTCAAATACAAAAGCCATCACTCTGGACGCCACGCTTGATAAATTATGATATCAATATAATAATTTTATTCATTATTATTCAGTTTACATAATACTCAATTAGCCCTCCCCCCGCGCCTCCGGCTTTTAAATTACACTCTAGGGGTAGGGCAGACAAGACTACGTGGAGTCGGTTTTGCAGCGATTCGTTTCTGTCACGTTAGTTTTGTGGCACAAAATATTGCCTGTTTTGGACCATTTCAAATTAATTTAATGTTAAAATACGATTTAATACGAATATACATAGACATCATGATTTTCAATAATATGGATAAATACAGTTATGAGTAATAAATTTATGAAAACAAATATTAGGATACATCACATTTATGAATATTATAGTTATTAATTCGAATGATTATGAGTTTCGATCATTAGTACAGAAAAATATATGAAAACAAATATTAGTAAAAACTAAGTGTATGATTAGTGATATTATGAATATCAATGATTATGTTTTTAAATGTGTAGGTTTTAAATTTTTTATGAAGAATGATCATTATGGTATCAAATTGTATGAGAAATATTTTCGGACCTCCAATGATAGGAATTGAAAAGTTATGTAAGAAAATGCGCTACCATTACTGACATCATTTTTAAGGCCGATTAATCCGTCGTTGGCTGTCAACCTGATGTAGGTACGCATGTATCCGTCATTGGCGTTGAAAAGGTTAAATAAGCCCGCGCGAGCCATCATAATAAAAAAAAACTACCAATTCAAGTTTTTGTACAAAAGCAAAACTACTATCAACATTCTATCTAACAGGAAAGGTCATAAAATAAAAACACGCTTACATAATAATTTAATATATTTCGTAATCCTAATACATTTGAGTCTTGCGTGGATCATAAACATGATCCACTTTATGAAAATATTCAACACACAATATTTCACCTTTAAAATATTACTCGCTCTTTTGTCCGCGACTTCGTACGCGTTGAATAATTGAGTCTTGCTTGGACCAAGTAGGTGATCCACTTTATGAAAATGTTCAATATACAGTATTTCACTTTTAAAATATTACTGGCAATTGTCCGTGACTTCGTACGCGTAGAATAATTGAATCTTGCGTGGACCAAGAGGATTTCACTTGCCGATGTCGCCAGTCCTCTAGATCCTTTGTATGAAATACTTCTAAATATTATACAAAAATACAAATCTTTCTTCTTTATAATAATTATAAACTTTTGCCCGCGACTTATTATTTTTATGTATTTATCTATTTTCCCGGCTCTGGGCCCTTCAAGCCACTTATGGTTATAGAATTGTCATGCAGGGACCATTGTCATTAGTCCTTACAAATTATGAAGATATTCAGTGCGTAGTGCGATGAACTCCGATTCAGCAAACGATTCACGCTTGGGCCACTCGCCCAGGCAGGATAATTATCTGGAACAAAACAAAACATTGTTAAAAAATATAGGTTCCTTCCTACCCAGGGATCTGGTGGACTTTTCCAAAAGAATACTCAAAAGTACCAGTAATTACCATTCACAACACAACTTTGTGTATCTACCTACTTAGTCTGTGGCAACGCCCCTACTCTGCGCAGTACGTTGTATTTATCTCAGAATTCACACTTTCGTTAATATTAGATTCTCAAACTTTTGACATGAATCTGGTAATTGTTATGGATTTCTTCCAAAAATACACTTTAATAAGAAGGGAAAACTAATGAAGGGTTGGCCTTACTTACACCCAAACGAAATAGGTAAATCGAAGGGCGAAGCGAAGGTCACATAACGATAGAACTGACTTTGTAATAAAATGGTTCCTTCCTATCCATTAGGGATTTGGTGGACTCTTCCAAAAGAACACAAAATACCTATAATATATCTGACACCCAATATTTTTTGTATTTTTAGTCGATTTGAAATAATTAAAAGTTAGTCAATTGACTTCGCGAGATCACAGTTTGTTTCAATACGGAAGTTGCGTTTTGACAGCACTAAAAATTTTCAACTAACCTGTTAAACCTTTTCGTAACAACCTCTCGTCGACAATTTAACGTGTGGCCCGAACGAACCGAACGACGAACTGTGAACTTTATACCACTGGACTGGACATTCAGAAGTGATTTGTTACTGAGCAACGCCCCTACGCTGCGCAGTACGTTGCATTTATCTCAGAATTCGCGCAAGCAAAATCTGTATTGATTTCTTATCAAAGAGCCCCAGACATGCTCTATACTATTTATATCCATATCAGTTCTATACACTTTCGTTAATATTAGATTCCCAAACTTTTAACTTGAATCTGATATTTGTTAAGGGTATCTTCCAAAAAAGACACAATGAAAATGAAACTTTAATAAGAAGGGGAAACTAACAAAAGGTTGGCTTTAGATCCAGACGAAATAGGTAAATCGAAGGGCGAAGCGAAGGGCACATAACGATAGAACCGGCTTTAGTAATAAAATAAAGCGATCGCAAGTCGTACTTGGCAAAAAAAGAACACCACAGAAACGAAAAAAAGAAGAAACGTTTATTTGATATTCGATGATATATTTAAAAGCATTATAAAGTAGGTACGTTAGAACTGAACCAATTAAAAAAAACATCTATTGACCCGACCGGGAATAGAATCCGGGCCTTCTGTCCAATGTGATAAAATACCTACCATAAAAAGTTAAATAAAATTCTTACCAGTTCCAAATAGTCAGTGTCGCCAATCCTCTTGATCCTTGGTGTGAATTATTGATTTTTAATACAAATAAGAAAACGCGAATCTAGCCAAAAACGCAATATTAAACTGTGCACTTATTATCATAAAAAATAGAAAAACAAACAAATTGTCGTAAAATGAGGCAATTATGAACTCGTGGAGGAAAACATTAATTCCAACGTAGAAATAAGTTTCACTAGACGTCGTCCCATTCATTATTCTGCAGGGAGTGAGCCACGGGCGCAGTACGCGAGATGCGATCGATAATGTACGGGGACGGTCAGCAAAGATTAATGGAGGCCACAGATGGAGGCTATAGACAACGTTTTATAAAAAAACATTCTTACGCTGCTTTTGCGTTTCAACGAGTACGTAACGTATCACACACAATATAATGTGGTATTGTAATAACGGTATTCTGTTACTGTCACTCATCGAACGTTAAAATAGCAATCTGTTACTGTCACTCATCACACTAGTTGTCAAATTGTTGAACCTACCAAAACATAACCTCAAAAAATGAAAATTTTGTAAACAAAACAAATTGCGAAAATGCGTCTTCTAAACCTATTCAAGCGGTTACAAATAACTCCTATAAGTCAAACGACGCGGTTTTTCGCTCAGGAATACACGCCGAAGCCACTTAGGAGCTTAAAAGCGAAGTCTACTAGGAATACTGTGCAATACTATGTGGATGCTTGTAGAGTGAGAGCTGTGGCGGGTAATGGGGGCGATGGCTGCATTTCGTTCCTCAGTGCGTGGTGTAAAGAACACGCAGGACCTGACGGCGGCGACGGCGGGCACGGAGGACACGTTATATTCCAGGTTAGATCGGTGTAATGTGTAACCATGTCCATACTGATTAACAGCCCGATCCAACTATCGGTGGACTAAAAGTCTGTAGATTACGGGTAGTCGAAGTCTTCTGAGGTTGTCGCCTACTGTCTTGTACCCCACTTGAGGGTAGATCTAGAAAAAACACTAGTACCTGTCAGGAGAGTAAGCACGCGTGCTCTCCCGAAATTCCCGGATATCTTTCCCGGTAAAACAGTGTAAAATTGCGTAATAGTACATAACTAATATTTATAATATTTTATAAGTGAAAAGTGCAAAAATGGTGGTCAAGTTTGGTGAGTAACTGACATTGATTTTGATATTGATTGAACGTGAGGAATAAAGAAAGGTAGGAAGCACAAAAAACCCAACATGTCAAGTTCTATAAGCCAATGTGTGGTTCTTACACTGACCTGTATTATTACACACTGGACAGGCTGTCTATACAAATGACACCTAATTTTGTGCAGCAATTTGAAATGCCACTACGATTGTCCAGAGAGCTAATTTTTATGTACATTGCAAGGTTAAGCATAAGAGTAAGCGAGTAAGAACATCACTAATTTTAGTTCAATGGACAATTGTATCTGCCTACCCTGGCCTACAGTACAGTGCCAAAATGGTGAAACTCAAATAGGCACAAAAATATTAGAACAGCAGCTAGTCGAGTGTGTAATAGTACAGGTCAGTATTCAGTATTATTAGTCAGTATACACCAACCGGCCATTGTGGAGATCATTGAGGGAGGCCTATGTTCAGCAGTGGACGTCCTGTGGCTGAAATTATGATGATGATGAATCACACTTGGCTCTGTCTGCAGGCAACCCACTCGGTGAAGAGTCTGAACCACTGCCGCTCGGTGGTGCAGGCCAAGCACGGCCAGCGCGGAGACAACAAGGACTGCACCGGCAAAAACGCCGAGCATGTGGTGGTGCCCGTGCCGTTGGGTAAGTACAATTATCATACTATAAAATCATAGTCTTGATCTGCCCACAGTCAGAGTGGAAATAAAATACCTCACACTCCCACTACAAGGATAACTATCACTTCATTCTGACACACCGGTCCAACACCAACCACTGAAGAATTCCTATTCAACAGACTGCAGACTAGTGCCCGTTTTCACCATCAATTCCTGATTTTTAAGTGACCCCTATGGTAACACATAATAGAAATTTTGTTTTCATAGGGGTCACTTAAAATTAGGGATTGATGGTGAAAACGGGTATTGCTCTCTCCCTGTCAGGGGTCTCCTTAAAAGATTCTAGCTCAGTTGAGAAACCATAATGTATAACCATAACAAATCTGATTTTACGAATTTTATTTTGTATGAAAATGTTAGAAAATAAAATTATATCTTTCTGACTTCACCATATCATTTATATGCATAATAATGTTAACATGGGCTAGTGTCGGCTCATATACCCATTTACCTAACATCTAAAGAATAGAGTTGTGCTCCTGCATTGGGAACTAAGGCCGCTTTCTGACTTGCCAAGCGTTTCTGATGAATCTGTGTTGCGCATGCCGCACCAATCAAGAAACGCTCCATTGTAATATAGGCACTCGGTAAGCTTTCGGTGCCGTGTATGCCGAGCGTGCTGATGTCGTGTCGCTGCCGCGCCGCAAGTCAGAAAACTGACTAAATCTCCTGATATTGATGACTCCAGGCACGATAGTGAAGGACGCGTCGGGCCGCGTGCTAGCAGACTTGGACACGGAGGGTGTGATGTTTGTAGCGGCGCGCGGCGGCGCCGGCGGGCGCGGGAACAAGTTCTTCCTCACTGACACCGAACAGGTGAGGTTAAACTGGAACCGTGTGTTTTTGCATAACAACTATTAACTCGGCTTTTAATAAACATTGGCCTTTTAGGGCCCTTGCCCCTTTTCAGCAACAGCATCGCTACTAACGCGTGTTGGTCGCATTTGCAACGCACTACAGAAGTGATGCCAACGCGCGCGCTACTAACGCGCTACAGCAGCGAATGTTTGTGTGAATGTGAATTGTGAATATTAAAATGTCATGAATACTACTAAATGTGATCCTGTAAAAAACGGGATATTTCTATGGGAAAGAGCCCTTAGGCCTAGAACAGATGGTGAAACGCAACTGCAACGAAACTGCAACTTTCTGATGATTCTGATGAATGAAACTGAGACTGAAAGTTTCAAACTGGTCGCGTCATGTGTGGTCTCTCAACGGACGCTATGGCAGAAACTTAGATGCAACTCAAAAGTAACTAGCAGTTGCAGTTTCGTTGCAGTTGCGTTTCACCGTCTGTTCTGGGCCTTACTCGCCAATTCTCATAGTGATTACTTGCTCAGTACATTGCTAAAGAATTTTCTTTAAAATAATGTGGTTACCTAGTGACAGGACTACTGCTATCGGCAGCTGTTTTCTGAAGCTCATATCAGTAGCACCATTTCCCGTACTTGTTAGTGACATGATGCATTTGAAAATTAGCGTCATGACATGATTTGATATGTCATGGCTTATGCTGAATGAGTTCCTTTTGATTTACTGTTTTCTTTCTTCTCTTATCTTGTATTTATTTTCTTGTATGCTATGTGATGTCTAAAAGTAATAATGCTATGTGTTTGAGGACTGCATAAAGTTTGTTTTCTGCGTCCACCTGTAATCTGATCATCCCTTTCCATCAGATGAGATGCAGGCTAAGAGCTTCTCCTTCGTGGATAATAATTTTTATAAAAAAAAATAAAACCGACTCCAAAAAACATACACTAAAAAGTAGAAAAATAATTACTAATTACATATTTATTAGGACGAATTAATATTTATGTATACCATGATTGATACTTTTGGAGTCGGTGCAGGCAAACTTCACACGTTTCATAATCTTGGCACCGACTCCAAAAGTATCAATCATGGTATACATAAATATTAATTCGTCCTAATAAATATGTAATTAGTAATTATTTTTCTACTTTTTAGTGTATGTTTTTTGGAGTCGGTTTTATTTTTTTTTTAATAATAATTACAGTGATCCTGTTATTATTATTAAAGTAAATAATAATATATTACCAATATTGTAAATACTGGTAAAAATCGCAAGTACCTACTTAACCCATGACTTTTCATACAAACTTTGTCAGTCTATAACTTCTATACTCCATCGATAACGACATTGAGCTTTGGTTGGGGTAAATTAATATAAGGTAACTTCATTTAGTCCCAATAATTGATTCTGAGTTTTTCGTCCATACAAAATGGAACTGACTCCTTTATGCAAAAATCGTTAAAGAACATAATAATAACGTACCTATAATAATAAAAAGGTTTACATACAAGCATTTTTTAAACCAATTTCGAGCCTTGCCCCCAGGATTTAAAGTATCGATATCTTATCGACTCCATTTTATCTTTCTTCTCTCTAATTGCTTTTTTCAAAGTGTGCGTCACGTCACGCGGCCATTGATTGGCCATAAGGCACGCCTTCTGGCCAATCACAGCACTTTTAAGCCGGTTGCACATGTTGTAGTAGACTCTCAGTCGCTTTGTTTTTACACAGTTGAATGTGTGTGTGGGAGCTGTGGTGGGGGAAATGTGGGGACACTGGTTCTCGTTGTAGTTACGCGCGACTTCATATCTATTCTCTTTCTATGATCTGAGGTACCGCCACTGCCGACGTTGTAGCAACGTAAGACAAAATTATGTCATATTTGTCTCTATTGAATTTGAAAAGTACTAAGAAATACAATCGTGTGATAACAACAAGGCTTATTTTCGTATATCGTTTCCACGTGTACATAATACAACAGGATAATGCCCTGCATTAGTACCAAAGGGGTAGGCTTGACGGATTACGGATGATATATCGTTGGGAAAATCCACATACAAAATAACGAGGTTTGTGATAAAAATATTGGATATAAGGAGATTTAGGTCGATGGGAACATGATAGATCCCAATTTACTGAACTTACACCCGAAGGGTCCCTTAAAAAGAAATAATAGATTGGTTGATACAATATTGTTATTGAATTCATGATTTAGACAAAACATAGAGCTACGGTAATTAGTAGAGTAGTAGGTAAGTATTCAGCATACTATTGTGTTGATTTTTGTAACAAAATTACCTTTTACAAACTAACTACAATGTCTACTTTGATGTGCTATCGTTGTCTAATTTTAATAGAAACAAACTTCATTACCGTCCACAATTTTAAAGCCAGTTTAATCTACAAAGTAACATTTTCATCAACCGCCAGAGATTAGGTCACGTATTTTCAAGAGCTCGCATGAACTGTCGAGGCAAGTAAACCTACGTCATTCGTGGCTTTAATCCCGGGGTAATAGTCCAAGCTAGCGGACGTTTTGACATGTTTTAAAGCTGTGTGTTTATAATAATAACCTACTTCCCTTGATATAAAGATCAATTTCACTTTCAACTGAACGGGAAACACTTTTTTTTTATCATTTTAGAAAATTTGAAGGGCTCAATCTGAGTCAACAGCTTCAAATGAACATTCAACGTTAATCAAAAACCATCCTAAAGTTTTAGTTCTTGCCTTGTCTTGCAGAAGACTAAAGATACTTAAACGCATAATCAATGTTATAATAACGAACTTGTACGGACTAATTCTCAAATGTCCAGCTTTAAAAATGACAAGATGGTTACCCCAGCACAGCTGTTCAAGCACATTACGTACTTAATTTCCATTTTCCCCGAGAACTCCTGCCGCGGTCAAATTCGATGAAAGTGTCGAGCAGCTTGCAAATTAGCTGGAGGGCAATTTCATGCTTTTATTATTCGATCAGAGGCAGCTGAAACGCTTTCCAAGCCTGTTCAATTGGTTTTTAATTTCGGAAACCTTGCAGCGACATTGTAAAATTTATTTGTCTTATTTGACTCTAACGCCCGTTTTCACAAACGATGCTTGCTTAAGTGAAGCAGCAAATCGAAGGAACAGCGTTGAATAGAGCTCTGTGATTGGTTCGTGTGTCGCCCTTGGCATTGTTGGCTTTGGCTTGACCTAACTGGCATAGAACAATCGTATAAATAGTTACAATTCGCCAGCGAACAATAAAACTTCAATTTATTGTTTGATGCGAGATGTATGTCAAACAATCTTTAAATTAACGTCTACCAAATATTTTTCCTCTGGTGAGAATGCACCTTTAGTTAGACAGACTTTTGTGTTATTTTATTTTTATGTAAAGCCACAATTAAAATAATAGTTACAACTCAAAATGCAAAACATTTAACTCTTGCTGAAAAGACGTCATTAGTTGTTGATAATGTTTGTAGCGTAATGATAATTATAATTACTTCCTAGTGTTGCTCTAATATATCACACATACACTGTTATTCTCCTAATAAGGATGCAAAGAAATGCTCTAAATCATCATGCATACGGTACAAGTTGCGGGAAGTTTAATAATACGAACCAGTTTTAAATAGAATCGCCAACGTTACTTATGAACCGATATAAAAGAGGAAAATGCAAAAAATAGTATTATTCTGTTACCGTCACATAGAGTTTGATGTAGCGAATGCAGAGCATGCAATACAGCACATTAACCTTACACACTGTAGTTTCTTATGCAGTTGTATTAAAGGTGAATTTGATGTGCTGTCTGATAGTGCAACGAATAAATGCTACCGAGAATCTCATTGCAAAAACGCTATTCACATCGCATACAAGTCGGGTCACAATAAGAATGCACCAACAGACAAATACAAGCTTCGTGTATGCGGCATACACGAAGCTGCAAGCGCATACAGTATGCCACTAGTTCATCTTGTATTGCTGCCTTTTTTCTATCAAGAATAAAGGGTGTTGAAAACGCTCTTCAATCTAAGAAATCAAATACTGATGCAAAGTCCAGTACCTATATTGTGCGAAATTAATAAGTTTTCCACACTTAATTAGCACATTAGTGGGTTAATAAAGATACGAAATTATCTGTTGACACGACGATATAGTATTTTATGAGGCGATTTGTGACGATGCTGTCTCAAACCTTGGCCACACCTTGGCAATTGACATAGGCACTGGCCACAAATATCCCAACTATCCCAACTAATATTATAAATGCGAAAGTAACTCTGTCTGTCTGTCTGTCTGTCTGTCTGTCTGTCTGTCTGTCTGTTACGCTTTCCCGCTTAAACCTCGCAACCGATTTTGATGAAATTTGGCATAGAGATAGTTTGAGTCCCGGGAAAGAACATAGGATAGTTTTTATCCCGGTTTTTGAAACAGGGACGCGCGCGATAAAATTTTTCTGTGACAGACAAAATTCCACGCGGGCGAAGCCGCGGGCGGAAAGCTAGTATTAAATACTACAGCTCAAAATAGGTAATCGTAGTATTAACGGTAACACAGGTCCATATTGTGAAAATAATTCGAATTCAAGTTAGGATACGTAACTAAGTAAGTACTTTAATTACCTCATCTTTGGTATAGATTCAAGGCTGTATTGGTAAAATACTTGAGTTTCGATTCAATCGAGTTTGAGCTTCGTTTCAGTGAGTTTCAGACGCAAGACTTGTCTGTGGACACGCTGTCAGTAACATGTGTGCCGGCGCCGGCCGGCATCATACAACGCTATTTCGGCTGCAACACGCGTCTGCGCACAAACACGCTTCCGTAATGTCTGCGTGTAAAGCGCACCACACACTAAGTTGAGCTCTTCAATGTAAAAAAAATTGAAACGGTGATGACGAACAACAAATAGCATAAGTAAATCATCCGAAGAAATGAACTGAAAGAGGATGACACTATAACAAACTTAAGCATAAGTGAAGTATAAATAACGCCGGCCTTATTCCAGAAAGCATACCTCCAAAGGAGAGGCAGGTCAGGGATGAAAGAGATCAAT